GCGGGCGGTGGGCTGGGCTAGGAGGCAGAGGACACGGATCTCCCCCCCACACACACACACACCCCTTCCGACGTGCACCGGGGCCCGCCGGCGCAGCGGCACTCCTCGGGAAGGCGCCTCCCTTCCCCTCACCTGGCCTGGCTCCGGGCTGCACGTGCGCGCTCGCGCCCCCGCCCCGCCCTCTTGAGTGCCCGCGGAGATTACCGGGAGCCCCCCCTCGCGGTCTCGGAGGGGGGGGGAGAGACGTGGGGGCGGCGTGACGGGAATCCCTGGCAGGCTGCAGACGCGCGCCTCGACGGTGCCCGGAACCCCGGACTCCCTGCCCTTCGGCTCTGGGTTCAAAGTGTCCTTTGACTCTTCCCCCCCACACACACACACACACACACGCACTCCCGCCGCCCCCGCCCGCCTTGAGAGGCGGCGGCGCCCCTGCAGGCTGATCAAGCCGCAGCCAGGAGCAGGCGTTTTGCAAAGCTATGGGCTCCTGATTGCCAACCAGAGACCCAAGTCGCCTTCAGATGCTGCCAGCCAGCTTCTGCAAGCAAATCAAGCTGGGCGGCAAGAGGGAAGCCCGGGAAGGGAATGGGTGATGATGATGATGATGCCACAGTTCTTGACACTTTTCAAATGCAGAATGCCCTTAGGCCAGGCTCCCTCCTTTTTCTGGTCCTGGGGGGTTATTACATTTTGACAGGCATCGATAAACACCCTTCTTACAGGAGCTAGGGTGGTCGGTTTCAGGCAAAACATCAACTAAAACATCTCAGCATCTTTTAACACACACCCTCTTCCCTCCCCCCAAAAAAAAGCCCACCAAGGACTCCCACCCACTTCTTCAGGTGCAGGTGGTGAATTATACGCCACGGAAGCTCACGCTGAAATTGGCTGCCTTGGGGTCCTTTTGGGGAGAAAAGCAGGCTAAAAATCTTTTAAATAAAGAATAATAAACTGATGTGTCACATGTGAGAATTTCCCATGTTCCTTCTTGCAACAACACCCAGGGGTGTCTGTGTTCTGCTTTTCCTTTTACACCTTTTTTTTTTCTCCTCTGCAGGCGTTAAGTGGCTTGGGGGACCTTTAGGAGGGGAGACGCCAACCTCTGACTTAGCTGGGCTCTGCCAGCATCTGCGGCAGCCACGGAGTCCCCCCCTCTTCCTGCACACCGCTTCCTAGAGGCCCCTGGGGACCCCCCAGGGGAGGTGGTGGAAGCCTTGCTGGCCTCAGGTTGCCCCCCACACACACACACAGAGAGAGAGAGAGAGACGCGCGACGCCTGCCCTTCTTTCCGCCACCTGTCCCACAGGGCCCACTTGCTGGCAGCAGTCCACCCCAAGCATCATTCCACTCAAGCGAAGGAACGGCATGGGTTGGCGTCCCCCCCCCCGAGGCCTCCCCCAGCCCGCCAGGAGTCCGTGCATCCTTGGTAGAACCCCACCGTGTTTTTGGCAAAGTCCCCAAGTCGCTTCAACTTGGAGCCTTTCGTGGAACTTTTTGCTGCCTGGCGAGAGAGCCACCTAGCGTGCAGCCAGGGCTGCCAAGCCGAAGCGCCTCCGCCCGACCGACCGCCGGGTTCCTCTGCAAACTCCTTTCCCTGGGGTAAAGCCAGCCTGCACTTTGCTCCTGGCAGAGCCCAAGGGCCTCCAGGAAGCGGTGTGCAGGGCCTCGCTCTAATCCAGGGCCTCGCTCGGGTGGTCAGTCCTTAGAGCCCAGAAATAATGTGGACCAGGGGATTATGGGAACCGTAGTCTGAGAAGAAAAGATTGGTTTTCCATAAGCGCCATCCATTCAGCCACCCCATCCGACTTCAAGGGGCAACCCACCCCCCCACGTTGTGCCTGGCTCAGGGCCGTCTGGGAAGAGGACACACCTGTGTGGCTCCGCTCAGAAACAAGGCGCGCGCACACCAGCTGACCGTGAGAAACAATGTTGACCCGCAAGCGAACAAGGGTCAGGCCTTCAAACCGCCTGGGCTCTCTCTCTGAAGCGCGGCCACCCTGCCCACCAAAGGTCAATTCTGCTCGCCCTTTCCACCCTCCTCTGCCATTCTTTCACCAGAAAGCCCTGGAAAACGATCTCCTCAAAGGGACAGATTTTATTAACTTAAATCACAGCACATCATAACGAGGGCTATGCGGCTCGTTCTTATTCATTCCAGGGTATCTTCCAGGCTGCAAAGCACTTCCAGTCTCGTGGCTGGTCCCCGAGCTGCCTGCAACGCCACTGATTTATAAAGTGATCACTTAACAAGGGGGGGGGGAAGGGAGCGCTAAAGATGTGAAAGAGCGGGACACTCTTTAACCGCCTTCCGCCATTTAGGGGAGCCGGATGTTCCCGTCCGAAAGGGGCAGGAGGGGGTCCCTCTTCTTCCAGGATGCGGGAGGGAAGGGCAGGACCGTGACCTTCGCTGACAGAAACGCCCCCAGCTGACGGCCACAACCTTGAGGGACACAGGCATGGGGGGGGGGCGTGCCTGATCAGAACTGGCCACGAGGAGAACCGCCACCTCCTACAGCTTGACCAGGTTCGGCTCGGGACCCTTTTGCCAACGGCACGGCGAGAGCCTGGGCTCACGGCTCTCGTGCAGCAAGACCGGTGGCGCCGAATTCCCAGGAGGAGTGAGCCCCTTCCGGCTCAGCTCTTCCCTCCAGAGGGTCTCCACCATCGCGGCTCGTGAGGGGCTTGGCCGTTGGAACCACGTCCTCCGCTAGGAAGCAGCGGCCGAGGCAGACGGGAAAGCTTCTGGGGAAAGGCTCTCCACGAACCTTTTCACCTGCAGAAAAACAAAAGGCCTCTTCAGTCCGCCTCCCAGGAAGGGCGCAGGCGGAGCCGCTCCCCGGCTACGGTCCAAGGAACAAAGCAGACGAGACAAGGCCCGTCCACAACTTCCACCCTGACCCAAGAAGACCATCCCCGTTTCCCTGCAATACCCAAGGGGGCCGGTTTTACCTGGCTCAAGAGCTTCCCTTGCTCGCTCGGATCGTTTTCAAAGTCCTTTGAGACATCGAGAAGCAGGACTGGAGTGGCTCTTAAGCGTTCCGAGTGGATCCTGTGGGGCCAAAAAAGGACAGAGTCTGCTTTATTCTTTGACAGCGTGGACGGGCTCACTTTCCTGAGCCCTCTTTTTTTTCATATGTGTTTGGATTCCTTTCACAGATCCATTTCATTTCCATTCTGGGGCAAGACAGGATTACATTCTAGATTTGCTGTGAGCCCCACCCTCATCACTGCAAAGCGCACGGCTGCCCAAAAAGCACATCTCTGTTGACTTTTAGAGGGGGAGGTCGGGCTCCGGGGAGCGACCTGTCTTCCCCCACCCCAGCAGATCTAGGACCGGGTTCAAAACAGAGAAGACCCAGCACCGCATCAGGAGCAGGGGACAGGAGGCGGCTGCGAGGCGTGGGGGGGGACGCCTCTGCTCCCGCCAGGCCCGGCCTCGTGTCCCGAGAGAGACGCTTCCCCTACTCACGGGGTCGTCTTCGTCACCAGCCAGCTTTCGTGCTGGGCGTGGAGCTGCTCCAGGTAGTGCAGCGGGACCTCCCTCTCCTCCGGCCTTCCTCGGTGGCGCATCCTCTCCAAACAGACCTAGAGAGGAGGACAGGACGGCTGAGGACCAGGCCAGGGGGCTCCCCTTGTGGGTCAGCAGCAACCCAGAGGTTTCCATATCAGGAAAGGAAGAGCTGAGGTTTCGATGGGACCAAAGCAGAGCTGGAGGTGTCCGAGCGTCCTTCTCTCCATCAAGGGCCTTTCCAGGCCTGGCTCAGGAGGGCTTCTGCTGGCCCCTTCTCCCCAAGGGGGCTGGCACAAAGACCAGCCGCAGCAGGGAGGGGGAGGGAGGACCTCCCAAGAAGGAGCACACAGAGCCATTTCGAAAGACCCTTTTTGGTGGGGGGGGGGGAGAGAGAGAAAGGCCAGCCATGAGTGCAGGTGATTCCCTGACCCGCGGAAAGGGCGCTCCCTTGTCCGTTACCTCTGGAGGTGCCCGGAGATACAGGAAGCCATGGAGGTCCAGCCGGTCCTCAAAGGCTCGCAGGAGGAAAGTGTGCCAGTCCTGGTAGATGACCCACTCAATGTCCGCCAGGTGGCCGATCTCGAAGAGGTTTTTTGCAAAGACGTACCTGGGGTGAGGTGGGGAGCCGCCATGAAGGGAGGGCTGTTCAGGGAGAGCATCAGGGAGACCTCAAACCCAACCCAACCCCTTTTTTGGGTGGGGAGCAGGATGGAAGACCTCCTCCGAGGGCTTTTGGGGGAGGGGGCATCAGAGCCTTCCGGCACCCTACCTGTCGCTGTACACAGACCGCTCAAAGACCTGGACAAAGTCCTGCCCCTCTGGAGGCTTCGCTGGGGGAGGCTCCAGCTGGGCCTTGAGCCGGCTCAGGCAGGAGTAAGTCTGGAAGGTGTAGGACCACCGGGAAGGCTCCTGATAGATCATCTGCAGCAGGTTCCCAAAGCCCAGGGAATGAGAGGAGGCCTGGAGGAGGAAGAGGAGGGCGAAGGCTGCCGTTGCAGAATAAAATGGAAGGGGAAGCACCCGAAAGAAGGGGGTTGCTTTGCCATTGGGGGGGGGGGAGAGGGGTAGCTTGGGGAGAGAAGACGTATCCACAACAGGCCTACACGGCAAGGGTGGCTGCTGATCCCCACACTGGGAGTGGATGACCGCTTTTCCCTCCAAGCCTCCCTTGAGAACGGGGGCCGGTCACCAGAGTGGGCTTCAGCAGGTCAGCGACGCAGGGACAAACCAGGAATGAGGTGTTGCTGCTCACTGTTCTGGGCAGGAGGTCCAGAGCCACAAGAGACCCCTCTCAAATCAGCGGTCTGCAAAATGTGGGTCCCGGCTGCTCTTGGGATACATCTTAACAGAAGGCTAACTAGACCCGCTGACGGTTTCCAGGAGCTACAGCTCAAGAACAAAACGGACGGAAGCCCCGACAGGAAGGGTTTCTGGCTCGCCCTGTGAAATGCTGCGCACCGGAGGTCACGGAGGTGTGCGAAGGACAGCTGCCTTCTAGCAGAAGGAAAGGAAACGGAAAGGGGGACTTTGGTCCCTGTCCCTAAATGACGTTGCTGACTCACAGACCCACGACGGAACCGTGGCCGTTCTCCCGATTAATTTTTGAAACATTTACGGCTGCAGCTCCCGAGAGGAAAGTCAGCACGCGATAACGCAGCAAGGAGGCCCAATTGCGCGGCAGAGTTCAAGGGTCCCGCAGCGACTAGCTTGGAGAGGTTCTGCACTCAGAAGGCGTTACCTGACGGGGCCCGTCGCCCTGGACCTTCTGCCACCTGGAGACCGGCTCTGGGGTCAGGTGCCACGCGGGAAACGCTTTTCGGAGGAGCCTCACAAAAGTGGACTTCCCCACCGCTGTAGGACGTGAAAAACAAGCACACCAGAAGACCCGTGAGCGCCGTCCGGCTGGGTGGAAAGCCTGGCCTTGTCTCCTCTTCGCGCCCACACAAAATGTGGAGGGAGGGGGGGGCTCCTGCCACTTGGGCACCCCCTTGGACGGGGACAGGTGGCCTCTTCCCACCCAGAAGCAGGTCTCCTGGCTGGCTGATGACTCAGTGT